ATTTAATTTGTTTCAACTGTTCTATATATATTTGTTTATTGCATGTGAATTTTGAAGTTGTTTGTGTAAACTGGCACTTTACAAAAAAATTCTTTAAAATATATATTGTTTTGGGGGGGGGGGGGTGGCAATGGATCTTGGGTGAGTTCCCACACTTTTTTCCCCCAGGACTTGACCCCTGATCAAGAACATCTGCTAAAAACTGCATATGAGGAACTCAAGACACAGGATAGGGGCCAACTGCTCGAATATAAACACAAAAACAGTAATACTAATTAACAACCACCAACATTTATCTGTGATTTTAATTGTAAAAGCAATTAATTTAGGAGAATTTCTAAAAAATACTGGTTGATTTTAAAAAGAGACGAGTTATTAAATTATATTCTCCCAGACAACCCTAGGATTATCTATAGAGGGGTATCGAACCTTAGAGATAACGTGGTCAGAAATCATATCAGACCAAAAAATACACAGAGTAGGTTTGGAGCATCGAAAGGTTTCTATGGTTGTGGTAACTGCGGAGCCTGTAAAAATATAAACACTAAGAAGAGACACCAAAAAAACTATTTAATCATCCTCAAAACTAAAATAAAGTATTCAACATAGAACAAGTAATGACATGCTATTCCAAAAATGTGATTTATTCGATCTCATGTACATGTGGCCTGGGATACATGGGTAGAACAACAAGATCCCTACAAGTGCAAATACAGGAACATGTTCGAATTATCAGAAATGTGTTTGAGAAGCATAGCCTCTCAATGCATTTCAAACATAAGCACAATAAGGACCCAACTCAATTAAATTTCATGGCTATTCAGGAAGTCGAGAGGAATTGGAACGGGTAAGATTTTATAAAGAAAATAGGTCAAAATGAGATGATAGATTTTTAACATAAACACTTTGTCACCATCAGGTCTGAATAGGGATTTTGAGATCTGCCACTTGGCATCATGATAACATATATAGCAGGCATGAGTATGTACACTATGGTTTGATGGGATATACATTTCTGGAATAGTTACACATACCGCAACCACATAAACCTGTATAGTATGTATATAATAGCATTATGAGTCACTACATTAACTATTGTTTTTCTCCTTTTTTGTTCCTTCCTTGTAACTTACTTTCAAATGTTGAATGATGTTTACTATGACAATGACATATGAGACAAACTGTATGCCCATATACAGCATTTGCCTTGGTATGTGTAGCCGATATCAGAACTTTACCCATCAATATTAGGCTTTTCCAACAGCCAAAATGGCTATGCCGGAGTAACGGAAGTGATGTGATGATGTGGTTCACGACATCACTTCCGCAAACAAAGTGTTGGAACTTGCCAGGAAACAAGATGGGGACTCACTAATAGGAAGTGACATGATCAGTTCCACTGCGTCACCTCCTATCTACAAGACGAGCGAATGTAGATCAGGTGGTTGCACTACCCATCCGGGATTTACTGAACGTGATTGTATGGGACCACAGTACAACAACCAATAGCGAGGGAGAATGACTGATTTAAAAACGGACAATACCAGGAAGCAGGATCCAATTGAAAAAGACCATTGTAGTGGCGAAACGCGTCTCAGACAGTGGGGACACTTTGGACTACCACTTTTTACTAGATCAAGTATTTTAATAGATTTTATTATATGTTTTTTAAAACTATTTGTTTAATACATTTTTTTACAACTCCTCTGTGCATCCCATTTCCCTGCTTCTAAAGAATGGTAGTGTTCCCTATAAAGCAAACAAGTGCTTCAAACCAGAGCCAGGTACCTAGGGCTTTGAGCGAGGTGAGCAGAACCATTTATGATATCATTCTGCATGGTGTTACTGATATATTGCAATAGGGGCTGTTTGCCTGTTGGTTCCTTTATGTTCCCTTAAAGTTACCATCATTGGATCTTATGAAAAAGGGAAAAGTATCAGCAGAGTACACACCAGCTGTTATGATTTGAGCCTATCTTACTGGCTCAATTCCATGTGAGTGTGATCATTACTACATCTTACACATAAGAGTGCTCAACAATACACACCATCTCTCTCTTTTTGTTTCTCTCTCTTTATATATATCTTCCAATATAAAATTCCTCACACACCCCTGATATAGGGGTAAGTTAATTATCAATTTGTATATAAAGCGCTCCACTTGGAAAGGCTGAAGGTTGTTCATTCACCTAAGGCTGTTTCATCTGTTTTTCAAAGGTGACAGATGGGTGTGAAACGGGTAGTATGATATGAGCATGGGATGCAGTAGTGTCAAAAGCATGCAAATGGATCTGAAACAGGAGTTAAAATCTGAAATGGGCACAAGTATGTGATATACCTGCCAACATTTTACATGGTAAAAGGACATTTTAATTTCAATTGTGTGACTGTGTGATTTGGCTTGGCCAGGGGTAGGGCTGTTTTGACAATAGGTGACTTACTAATAACAATTTATGCAACTAAAGTGTACTTTTAAACAAAAAAAATATATCTTTTTTCTAAACACATTTACTGTTGTTTAAACACATTACTGTGAGTATTATTTCTGTTGAGCCTGTTATACACTCAAACACACCAACAATATGATGCTCCTAGTAAAGAGGGACATTAGGATTGAAAAGAGGGATAAAGGAATGTGGGCCCAAATTAGGAATTGAACCTAGGGACACTTGGGAAGTATTAGTGATGTGAAAAACGCAGAAAGAAAGAGCAAAGCAAGCAGTGGTAAGAAAGATAATTGTAAGTAAAAGCACACCCTTAATGTATGGGGTTCCATGCAAATACATACAGATGTTATTGTAGAGTTAAATCTAAAAGATTTTTCATTATGTTTTTGTCCTAATGCTGGCTTCGGGCTGGGTTTTTAGGTTCAAACAATCAGCCATTTGATATAAATCCATTTGGCTCTGGGGAGATTTTTCTTGACAAATTTAATTTACAATCTCTTTCAGCAAATATGAAACACTTTCTTGTAGGCAACACTGAGTGACTAGCAGGGAAAATGAGAGATTGTTCTGAATCTACACATTATCGCAAAGTATTGGGGCTGCAGATGAGGCAAAGTGAATTCAGTTCACAAATCCATGACGACCAAACTGTGCGTATTATTGGACACAGCCCAATATTGTATTATTCTCTAGGCAAGACTCATATGTCAAAACTAATGCATTTGTGACATTATATGTTTGCAACAAATATGTATAAAAAACAACACAGCAGATATATCAAAATAACCTTTTAATAATAATTTAAGTATATTTTTGTAGCAAAATACATTACATTTAGATCACTTTAGATCACTTTTTAGATCACTTTTCAGAAATGTGTTTGAGAAGCATAGCCTCTCAATGAATTTCAAACATAAGCACAATAAGGACCCAACTCAATTAAATTTCATGGCTATTCAGGAAGTCGAGAGGAATTGGAACGGGTAAGATTTTATAAAGAAAATAGGTCAAAATGAGATGATAGATTTTTAACCTAAACACTTTGTCACCATCAGGTCTGAATAGGGATTTTGAGATCTGCCACTTGGCATCATGATAACATATATAGCAGGCATGAGTATGTACACTATGGTTTGATGGGATATACATTTCTGGAATAGTTACACATACCGCAACCACATAAACCTGTATAGTATGTATATAATAGCATTATGAGTCACTACATTAACTATTGTTTTTCTCCTTTTTTGTTCCTTCCTTGTAACTTACTTTCAAATGTTGAATGATGTTTACTATGACAATGACATATGAGACAAACTGTATGCCCATATACAGCATTTGCCTTGGTATGTGTAGCCGATATCAGAACTTTACCCATCAATATTAGGCTTTTCCAACAGCCAAAATGGCTATGCCGGAGTAACGGAAGTGATGTGATGATGTGGTTCACGACATCACTTCCGCAAACAAAGTGTTGGAACTTGCCAGGAAACAAGATGGGGACTCACTAATAGGAAGTGACATGATCAGTTCCACTGCGTCACCTCCTATCTACAAGACGAGCGAATGTAGATCAGGTGGTTGCACTACCCATCTGGGATTTACTGAACGTGATTGTATGGGACCACAGTACAACAACCAATAGCGAGGGAGAATGACTGATTTAAAAACGGACAATACCAGGAAGCAGGATCCAATTGAAAAAGACCATTGTAGTGGCGAAACGCGTCTCAGACAGTGGGGACACTTTGGACTACCACTTTTTACTAGATCAAGTATTTTAATAGATTTTATTATATGTTTTTTAAAACTATTTGTTTAATACATTTTTTTACAACTCCTCTGTGCATCCCATTTCCCTGCTTCTAAAGAATGGTAGTGTTCCCTATAAAGCAAACAAGTGCTTCAAACCAGAGCCAGGTACCTAGGGCTTTGAGCGAGGTGAGCAGAACCATTTATGATATCATTCTGCATGGTGTTACTGATATATTGCAATAGGGGCTGTTTGCCTGTTGGTTCCTTTATGTTCCCTTAAAGTTACCATCATTGGATCTTATGAAAAAGGGAAAAGTATCAGCAGAGTACACACCAGCTGTTATGATTTGAGCCTATCTTACTGGCTCAATTCCATGTGAGTGTGATCATTACTACATCTTACACATAAGAGTGCTCAACAATACACACCATCTCTCTC